TGATTTTTGGATTCGAGAAGTCCAATTCTTGGGTCACGTGGTCAACCAAGAAGGGATAATGGTTGATCCAGCAAATATTGAAGCTGCGATGAAGAAGGAACAACCGAAAAGTCCCACGGAGATCCGAAGCTTTTTAGGATTAGCCGGATATTACCGAAGATTTATCCAAGGCTTTTCTTCGATTGCTACTCCATTGACAGCTTTGACCCACAAAGGGGTTACTTATGCTTGGAGTGAGAAGCATAAAGAAGCATTCGAGAAGCTAAAGAAGAAACTATGCGAGACACCGATACTTTCTCTACCCGATGGAGTTGAAGACTTTGCTGTTTATAGCGATGCGTCTGGGGTTGGATTGGGTTGTGTTTTAACCCAAAGAGAAAAGGTGATAGCATATGCGTCTCGACAGCTGAAGGAGCATGAAAAGAATTACCCGACTCATGATTTGGAGTTGGCAGCGGTAGTTTTCGCTCTGAAAATATGGAGGCATTACCTCTATGGCACGAAGTACAATCTTTTCACTGATCATAAGAGTCTCCAATATCTCTTCAATCAGAAGGAATTGAATATGAGGCAACGACGATGGCTAGAGTTACTCAAATACTACGACTGTGAGATACTTTACCATCCCGGTAAAGCTAATGTGGTTGCTGATGCTCTCAGTCGAAAAGTCAATCTTGAAAGGAAAAGGCCAAGAGCGTTGAGAATTGAAGTTGTCTCGACCATTGTGGAAAGTATAAAGAAAGCTCAAGATGAAGCTTCTGAGAAAAATGACCGAAAGGAGGAACGTTTGGGCAAAACGTTGGTGTTCGGTGTAAATAGTCATGGACTGAAAGTGTTCCAAGATCGGATTTGGATACCTAAGACAGGAGGAATCAGAGATCTTCTGATGGAAGAAGCTCACAAGACCATCTAATCGATTCATCCCGGTAGCACTAAAATGTATAGGGACCTGAAACCCTACTACTGGTGGCCGGCGATGAAGCTTGATGTTGCAAGGTATGTGGCCGAGTGTGTGACTTGTGCGAGAGTCAAGACACAACATCAGAAACCGTATGGGAGTTTAGAACCTTTACTTGCGCCTATGGGTAAGTGGGAAGACATTGCTATGGATTTTGTCACTAAACTACCCAGAACAAAGAATGGTCACGACATGATTTGGGTGCTCGTTGATCGATTCACTAAGAGTGCGCATTTCATAGCAGCCAGGGAGAAATGGTCTATGGAAAAGCTTGTGAACTCCTATGTGAAGGAAATTGTGAGACTTCACGGTGTTGCGCTAACAATTGTGTCGGATCGTGATAGTCGTTTCACCTCAAGGTTTTGGAAATGTCTACAAGAGAAAATGGGTACCAAGTTATGTTTAAGTACAGCTTACCATCCGCAGACTGATGGTCAGAGTGAAAGAACGATACAAACACTTGAAGATATGCTGAGAGCATGTACCTTGGAATTCCTAGGTAATTGGGATGAACAATTACCATTGGTAGAATTTTCCTATAACAATAGTTTTCACTCGAGCATTAAGATGGCACCTTACCAAGCTTTGTATGGACAAAAGTGTCATACGCCGTCTTGTTGGCTTGCGGCTGGGGAAAAGCAATTTATGGGACCGGAGATGGTTCATCAAACTGCTGATAAGTTGAAAATAATTAGGGAAAGAATGTTAGCAGCTCAGGATCGTCAAAAGAGCTATGCTGACAAAAAGCGAAGACCGATGACTTTTGAAGTTGGGGATTCGGTTTTGCTTAAAGTCTCGTCGTGGAAGGGACTTATAAGATTTGGTAAAAGGGGAAAGTTGAGTCCAAGGTTTATTGGACCGTTTCAAGTTCTTCAGAGGATTGGGAACCAAGCTTACAAGCTCGAACTACCAGAAGAACTGAATGGAATTCATAACACTTTTCATGTATGTTATTTACGGATGTTCACGGGGGAAGTTCCCGACATGATTCCACTTTCGGAGTTGAGAATCGATGAGAACAAAAGGTTGATTGAAGAACCAGAGGCAATTGTTAACCGAAAGACTAAGAAGTTGCGACGCAAGATGGTCGACTTAGTTCTTGTCCGATGGAAACACACGAATGGGCCGAATCTCACCTGGGAGACGGAGAGTGACATGAGGGGTCGCTATCCGCATTTGTTTGTTGAGGTGTGATTCCGGGGACGGAATCATTCTAAGGTGGAGAGAATTGTAACGCCTGTGTTTTCGGGCTTGCCATTTTTAGCAATGTAATGGTCTAGGTTAACCTTTGTAACCCGTTTTGAAATAATAAGATTGTATTATTTGAGTATTATGTGTTTTGTGCTTAATTTCTTAATTATGTGGTTTGATTTAATTAAGAATAAAAATAAGCGTCAAAATTTAAGTGTAAAATAAACTTGATATCTTTAGATAATGTTGTAGTAGTTGAAACAAGGTTTCCAAAGATATAAAGAATGCCGAAATTCGAGTTATAACGAGGAAGTTATGACCTGTCGAAGTTTCGCGACGGAACCGACACCGCTGAATGAAGTAAAAAGTGAAATTTACATTAGAGCGATATTTAGCCTTAGTGATCGAAACGAATCGAAGATCTCGTTGTTAGTATCAAATCGATAAAAAGTTAGGCGAGAACGGACATCAAACGAAGAAGTTATGAATTTATAACGAAATTTTCTGTCCCGGCCTATTAAAAATAAATAATAAAAAATTAAATTCAAAATTAGCGGATAGAGTCTAAACAAAAGTTGTAGAGCGTAGTCTCACCTTCGCATGGATATAAAGAACGTCGAAAACGGAGCTCGTATGCAAAAGTTATGCAAGTTTGAAGTTTGCTTAATAGCGTACGCCCAGCGTAATTTGGGGTACGCCCAGCGTACCCCTGAACCGCCTCAGCTACGCATGCAATGACGTCACTCGAACACATACGCATGCAATGACGTTGCGTACGCCCCACGTAATTCGGGCTTCTAGCCTCTATAAAAAGGATCCGAAGGCAGCCTTAGTTCCTTTACAAATTCCATCCTTCTCTCTAGTCTTTTGCCTCTATAAAAAGGATCCGAAGGCAGCCTTAGTTCCTTGGAAGCTCTCAAGGCCAAAATGGTGGTCTAAAGGTTGTATGGGACTTCAATGGCCATAAAGTTGGCACCTTTGTGCCATGAAAGTCCTTCAAGGCTCTAGATTTGGAATGCTTTCCATTTGGAACGTCCAACTCTCAAGAACCATATCATTAGGACCAAAAACAAGCAAAAGATGCTAAGAAGGATATCTAGTCAACTATTAGTCAGGTTTGAGACTTGATAACCAGAAAATGACTGAGATGGAGTGAGGTTACTGGATCTAGCAACTCTTCTTTGTTCCTTCAAGCTTTCCTTCCTTCCAATAGCTTCAAACACCGACAAGCACTCAAAAATAGGTCACAATCACTCCAACTAGCTTTAGGGTTTCGAGATTTAGGGTTAGAGACTTGGAGGCTAGAAATGAGGCCAAACCCTAAAATTTATGTTTTTTAAATAGGGTGGTAAACCTCACATTTATGGTTTCCTAAACCCTGTCAAACTCGTCGATTTGGTCCTCCCCAACTCGTCGAGTTTGTTTTCAATTTCCTACGTGCCAAAATATTCCTACTCGTCCAGTTCTCCCCCTTGAACTCGACGAGTTGACTTCTTAAATGAAAATTACCTTTCCTTAATTAGCCTTCTAGATTCTGGGTGTTACAAATTTTAAGAGAAAAGAACAATATATTTAATTTTTCTTTCACTTATCTCCAACTCTGGAGCACAAAATACAATTTAATATGTTGCATTTTCCCTTCTTTTGTTTTCTCTTGTTACTTTCTTTCCCCTTATGTTATTTTCTCTTCTAAAACGTGAGAACCAGGCATAAAGGAAATCCCCTTCAAAGGTGTTCTTCTCGTTCATGCTTTGTGAGATGCTTCGTTCTAACATAACGATTATTATTAGGATTAGGACGGGCGGTTCAGGTCGAGTAGTGTGCTAGTGGATTGTCCCGGATTTAAAATGGGTTGATTTGTTAGTTTAAAAGGTTTATTAGGATTAGTACAAAATTGGACTCAAGTGTTGTTACCTTTCCAAGTGTTATGACCTAACACAGTGATTCATTTAATGTACAATCTTCATGATATTAGCTACATTTTAGGCCCAAAGGGTTTATAGTCGAGCGGTAACAGGTTTGCATCCCTCCTTGAGGTCGAGAGCTCACGTATCATCATATATATATATATATATATATTTGGATTTAGGAGTTACTTTAATAGTAGATTAGATTTTCCGTTTAAAAAAATAAATAGAAAATAAAAACTAATTTTAGGATAAAGAAATACTAAATGATGTCTTAAAACCTGATTTTTATTGCTATATGTTATTTAGCATGTTTCCTACTCATTTCTAAAGTTTTTTCCTTATACAAAACTATCAAAGGTCTTAAATACATTTCTAACAATTAAAACCCATTATTAAGTGCAAACACCATTCGGTTCGCATTTGACATTTGTTGTATCACAAAAACTTAATCATTTTCGTACCTTCGAAAGTATTTTATCTAATAATACTAACATCCAAAATTTTAAAATCGAGGATGTTATATTAGATTTTGTAAAGATGACACCCATTTAATAATAGAAAAAACAGAGAATCTAGCAGAGTAATTCTTGGATATGAAAACTGAATTGAAAAAGACCAAGACGCCACCATTTTATTGTTTTGCAAATGATTCGGCTAATCAATGCCTAATCACTTTGTTTAAAAAAAAATACTACGTATTTGATAATGTGACGACATGATGAAAAAGGTAAAGTCATGCCCATGTGCCCATGTCCTACATGCATAAAGCACGTTGACTGACTTGAGTTTTGATTGACACAAGTCTACTTCAAACAGCAAACAAACAGCCATCAGCATGCTCAGTATTGGCATGGTGGATGGTTGAGCTGAGGAGGATTTCTGACTTCTTGTAGTGAACAACACCCAGCTACCATAAAATTTTTGTAGCAAGTTTCTAAAGCATGTCTCTCTTAACATGCTTCCTTTTCCTTCTCAGCGTAACCCCTTATGCAGCTTCCCTTAATTTCGATTTCCCAAATATTACTCCAAAAGAAAACCAGAAGATAAAAACATCAGGGGGTGGAGCTTATATCTCTGACCAAGGAATCCAGGTGACCCCTGAAAACAATCGTCATTTAGAGAACAGGACAGCAGGCTGGGCAACATACATCACACCGCTTCATCTGTGGGATAAGAAGTCTAAAGAGCTAGCCAGCTTCTCTACACATTTTTCATTTGTTATTGATTCAAACAATAATACTAATTACGGTGATGGCCTCACATTCTTTCTTGCTCAGAATAAATCCATGATTGAATCAGATTTGGAAAATTATTACGGTGGAGGAGACATTGGGCTTCCGTTCAATCGCACAACCAACCTCTCAACTGTTCCGTTTGTCGCGGTAGAGTTTGATACATATTATAACCCTATTTGGGATCCAACCCCACAAGATCATGTAGGCATAAACATCAATAATCTTTCTTCTGTTAGCTATGGATATTGGTGGAGCAACATAACCTATGGGAAAGAGTGTCGAGCTTGGATTAACTATGATTCTGTTTCCAAAAATCTTAGCGTTTCCTACACCAATAGCGGAGATGATATAGATGAACTTTATTACACCATTGATCTAAGAGAGGTGTTGCCAGAATCGGTGGTTTTTGGGTTTTCAGCAGCAACAGGTGCCTCGTTCCAGAAAAACAATGTAAGGTCTTGGACTTTTAATAGTTCTATTCTACACATTGACATACCACCAACCATTAGCCCCCAAAACATTTATCAGAACAACACGCTACCACCATCCACAAGTCCGGATTCATCGAAGGAGAAGAAGAGGACAGGGTATATAGTGGAACTGATTGCTGGAGCCTCTGTTGTACTTGCTATTTTGGTTATTGTTACAGTTTTTTGTTGGAAAATGAGGAAAAACATGGGAGATGAAGTTGACGAATTTGGATCTGGTCTGGAGATGAACAATGAATTCACAATGGGCGTCGGACCTCGAAGATTCTCTTACCGTGAATTAGCTCGGTCAACTGGTGGGTTTTCAGAGAAAGAAAAGCTAGGCGAGGGAGGTTTTGGAGAGGTTTACAAAGGGTTTCTGGATGATTTGAAAATATATGTTGCAGTCAAAAGGGTGTCCAAGAATTCCAAACAAGGGATCAAGGAGTACGCAGCAGAAGTAAAGATCATTAGCCGATTGAGGCACAAAAATCTCGTCCAATTGACTGGTTGGTGCCACGAGAAAGGAGAACTTTTGCTTGCTTATGAGTTTATGGAAAATGGAAGCTTAGATTTACATCTCTTTAATGGAAACAGCTTGTTAGCATGGGAAACAAGGTACAAGATTACCTGTGGTCTGGCCTCTGCTTTGCTATATCTACACGAAGATTGGGAGCAATGTGTTTTGCATAGAGATATCAAATCGAGTAATGTGATGTTGGACTCAAATTTCAATGCTAAGCTTGGCGACTTCGGGTTAGCTAAGTTGGTCGACCACGAGAAAGGCTCACAGACAACACTGTTGGCCGGAACCTTGGGTTACATGGCTCCAGAATGTGTAGTAACCGGGAAAGCAACCAAAGAATCAGATGTATTCAGCTTTGGAGTTGTTGCACTGGAAATAGCTTGTGGACGAAAACCCATCGAGTACTTGGCTCCTGAAAAACAAGTAAGATTAATCCAATGGGTTTGGGAGCTCTATGGGAATGGGACACTTTTAGAAGGGGTAGATCCACGGCTAGGGTCAGATTATGTGGGAGAAGAGATTACACGTGTGATGATCCTTGGGCTATGGTGCGTGCACCCTAACCCAGATATTCGCCCTTCAATGAGACAGGTTATTCACATTCTGAACTCCGAAGCTTCTCTGCCTATACTCCCCTCAAAGATGCCGGTGGCTTCTTATTTGTCGTCTCCCATGTCTTCATCATATGGCGTGGCTTTTGTCATCCAAGACCAATCATCAAGTGGTGCATCTAAATCGGATTCCTCAGAGAAAACAACATCATCGACAGGCTCTTCTTATTCTCCATATGTATCACTGTTGCATTCAGAGCAATGACATATTCCATCCACTCTCAGTTTTTGCAGAAGAAGAAATGGAGCTTCTAATGATTTTGTTTATGGTGTGTGTATACAATAAATGGTATTTTCTTCGTGTTTGTTTGATTTCGTTCATATGATCTGCAGATATGTGTCGAAATTTATGATTTTCCAGTTGGGACTATTTCGTAGTGTACGTATATTTATGTAAGGAGCTGATATTTACAATGCATTATTTTATCCATCCACGTGTTTTCACCATTTTGCCTTTATTGATAATTTATAAAAATGTGAAAGAAAGAAGAATAGGTATCCATTTGAAATTAAAGTCTTTTCACCATTTTTCCCTTATTGATAATTTATAAGAATGTGAAAGAAAGAAAAATAGGTTATATCCTGTTGCCTGTATCACCATTCACATTTACACTACCCCTCTTTGAGTCGATCATCTTCTACATCCCAACCACAACCTCCTAAAAAACATAAAAATGCAAGTTCCAATCCAACCATACACCAAAACTTGTATAAAAAAACTTCCAATCCAACGATACACCAAAACATGTATAAAAAAACTTACTTTTAATTTTTAATAATTTAGTTAAAACCAGCGGCGGAGTAAGAATTTGAGAATAAGAAGGGCTTAAATCTTAAAAAGATAATAAAAGATATTGATTACTAGTTTAAAATAGAAAATCGTTTATTCAGGTTCAACACTAAGTAGCTAGTCAATATTACTAAAGTATTATTTTTTAAAGTTGTAGACATGTATTATAAATATCTTCATTTAATATTATCTCTAACAATATACAATTGTTGTTCATGAAGATTTTTCTTTTCATTTAAAAGAAGAATCAATGACTTTTTTGTTGCTCAAAATTTAAAATATGATCATAAAAAACCAAATTACTAATCATGATAAAATTACAAAAATGAAGTAAGTAAGAATTAAAGATTACCTATTATTATTGATTGGAGAATGAAAGCAATGGTAACATCTTAGTGAAAATCAACTCCCGATAATAAAATAATAGAGATACCCACTTTAACAAATTAAAATAGACAGAAGGGACTTTGAGTTTAGTTTACTAGATGGGCCACATAATTACTCATGGGTTGCATTATATATAATTCTATCATCAAACAATTAAAAGAGTTGGAGGGGGCGCAGCACTCGGCTGCCCCCTACTGGCTCCGCCATAGTTCGTACAGAAGAGTGGTTTCCACCCAATATGACTTTTAATCCAAAAATGGGTAATATCACTGGCAAAATCCTAATTATCCAGCAATTTCATTTTTGTTTGAAGCATTAATATGTAGCGGCAATAGATGATTGAAGAACAAAATGCACTTAATAAAAGGAATAACACATGTGATGGAGGGAAGAACAAAATGCACCAAATCAAAGGGATAAAACATGTGATGGAGGAAAGAACATAAAGCACTCGGTAGAAACATAAATGTGAAAATCTTTAAAATCAACGATTCTCTTTTTTTTTTATTTTGTAAATTTAAAAGAAAGGCAAAAATGTAAAAGAACATTGATTTCAAGTGGATTGAAAGAAAATTGAAGTGGAAATATCAAATCCCTATGTCAAAAACGATTCATCTGGACAAATTTTTCTCAATACTACAACTGGTTGATAGGTTTTTTTTTTTTTTTTTTTTTTGAGTAAATTATGTGAATGATCCTTGTGGTTTGGATTAATCTTATGAGTTTGGTCCAAGAAGAAATTGATGTTTTGATCTTCCCTTCTTTTTTGTAAATTTAAAAGTAATGCAAAAAGGTAAAAAGAACATTGATTTCAAGTGGATTAATAAAAAAAGCAAAAACGATCCGTCTGAACAAATTTTTCTCAATACTACAATTGGTTGATAGGTTTTTTAGTAAATTATGTAGCAGCTGGTTCCGGTACGTACTCTTTTTTTTTTTTTTTGTAAATTTAAAAGTAATGCAAAAAGGTAAAAGAACATTGATTTCAAGTGGATTAATAAAAAAAGCAAAAACTATCCATCTGGACAAATTTTTCTCAATACTACAATTGGTTGATAGGTTTTTTAGTAAATTATGTAGCACCTGGTTCCCAGTACGTACTCTTTTTTTGTAAATTTAAAAGTAATGCAAAAAGGTAAAAGAACATTGATTTCAAGTGGATTAATAAAAAAAAGCAAAAACGATCCATCTGGACAAATTTTTCTCAATACTACAATTGGTTGATAGGTTTTTTAGTAAATTATGTAGCATCTGGTTCCCGGTACGTACTCCTTGCTATTTACATTTTTAAAATAATGCATTTTTCCTTGGACTTGGCGAGTTGATGGGCCAACTCGCCAAGTAGGAGTCGGATAAGGCACGGGAATTCGACTTTGGACTCGGCGAGTTGGTCCCCAGACTCGGCGAGTAGACCCTGTTTGGGCAAAAACCCTAATCCGGGTGTTTGCACCCTATTTAAACGCTCTAACTTGGCCTCCTTTATCCCTAATACTTCCAGAGAGCAGTAGAGCGAGACCCTAGCCCCCATATTGTTCTTGAGAGTGTTTTTGGCTTTGTGAAGGAGGATTGGAGCTTAGAAAAAGAAAGAGGTGGTTGAAGAGTGCAAGGAAAGGAGTAGATCCGAAATCTACTCATGGAGAAGCTTCCATTCAGGTAGAAAAGTCCCTACCTTGATCTTTAGGTCATTATATACCATTTTTGTCCCAATTTAGTGGTTTTCAAGCCCTAAAACACCAAACTCCATGAGTTGTGCTTAATGATCCGAAAGGACTTCAGATCTAGACTTATTGGATGAATTAGTAGCATAAAGTTCTGTGGTTGAAGTGATCGAGGTCGCCATTGAGTGTATGACCTCATTAAGAGTTTGGTTTTGGCCTTATGAGCTTATAGGGCCATGCATGCACGTAAAGTTTGCAACATTACGTGATAAGCATGCTCAAGGAGCATGGATCTGTGGTTTTGAAGCGTTGCATGTCTCAGATTTGGCCTATATTGGAAATGGGTCATAGGGACTCGACGAGTTCCATGAAGATTGTAACGCCCGCAGATCCGGGCTAGTCAATTTAAAGGCAATAGGGGTCAAAAATGACTTTTCAACAAAAGATTATTTAGAATGAATAGTCTTAACCAAGTTTTAGAATATGTCACAAGGTTTCCGTACATATAAAGAACGCCGAAATCCGAGTTATAACGAAGAAGTTATGGCCCGCCGAAGTTTTACGGCAAAACCGGCACGGCACCGGAAGACATAAATCCTGAAATTACGATAGAAGACTTTTTAGCCTTAGCAATCTAAACAAAAGTCGTAGAATACGTTAAACTAAGAACGTCGATAAAAAGAACGCCCAAATCTGACTTCGTATGAGGAAGTTATGATCTTTCTAAGATTCGGCTTAGCAGTGTACAGCCCGAAACTCGAATTTTAGTTCGAGCAGTTTTTGGCTTACGTGAAATAAATGAGAGTTGAAGATCTCATTAATAGGAACTCAACGGTAAAAAGACAGACGAAAACGGAGTCCGTATGAAGGAGTTGCGAATTCTTCGCGGTCATTTAACAGTCTAAACGCCTCGTACTGTTAAATTTAAGATCGGTCGAGAATTAGCCGACGGAGTCAAAATGAAAGTTGTAGATATTATTTTTACCTACGCGTGGATATAAAGAACGTCAAAAACGGAGGTCGTATGTGAAAGTTACGGATTTTATAAGTCGGAAGTGTGTTGTGCGAAAATGGGTGATGTGGCACAATCTTGGCCATTGCTTTCTCCCCAAGTTTTGCCACTAGATGGTGATATGTGGCACCAAGTTCAGCCATTTTCACCCTATAAATACCACCTCTCCCACCCTCATTTTCTTCACACCTTTCCCATTCTTTCTTCTCTTTACTCTCTCTCTAGAACTTCTCTCTAGCCTCGAAATCCCCCGAAAAGCCTAGGGAACCTCCCTAGCACGAGGCGGAAGCCCTGGAGTGCTCGACGCCTCTGAGAAGAAGAGCTTTTCGGCTCGGAAACGCTGCTCCAAGCAAAGCCTGGTTTTCTATAAAACCCGTTGTAAGTGAGCTACGCCTACGCTATTTTTAATATAGTTTTTATTTAATTATATTAACGTTATTAAGAACATATAATAAATACTTGGGCTGTTATTATGGGTTATATAAGTATTTTTTTAACTCTTATATAATAGTAATAATAGCTAGACTATTAATTAGTCTTGGCGAATAATAGACTAAAATCTATTGGTGATAACACTAGGTTTCGTCGAAGGAAATTATTTTAAAGTAAACGAAGCGCTGTCCGAGTACCGAGTCACCACCTTCTCAGGTGAGTGCATAGTCCCTTTCATGAACATGATTTTAATACAAGTATTGATTGAAGTATTAATTATATGTTTATGTGCGAGTTAATTAATGTTGCTTGAAATTCGTGTTAAAGAACATACCTGATTATATTTGATAATTTAGGATAAAGAGTAGACCTAAATTAAATATGAGGAATATTGGGTAGTATATTCTTATGAGTACAAGTGAGTTAAACTCAGAGAATAGAAGTTAGTATATGTCACTTATCCGGGAGTATGGATTAGACATAGTCATTGTCCCTAGTCCGAGAATATGGATTAGGCATAATCATTCGTCGTTAATCCGAGAGTATGGATTAGCTATTGTCCCTAGTCCGAGAGTATGGATTAGGCATAATCATTCGTCGTTAATCCGAGAGTATGGATTAGCTATTGTCCCTAGTCCGAGAGTATGGATTAGGCATAATCATTCATCTTTAATCCGAGAGTATGGATTAGTCATTCGTCCCTAGTCCGAGAGTATGGATTTGGTAAATTCGTTCATTTCTGATCCGAGAGTATGGAGTAGGTAAAACGACTAATCTTAGGTCCGAGAGTATGGATAGCCTCGTTGCGAGGATCGATGGGGTGGGATAAGAGTTGTTTATATATATGTATGGTGAAATTGTATATTTTGTGAATTTTAAACTATATATATGGTATAACATTGTGGGATTGAAATCCCTATGTGCTC